ACATGCCCTGCTTCACCACAACCATAGCATTTTATATTTACGGAAGTAGTTTCTCTTACCTTTCCCTTACCTTTGAAAGGATGCCTTCCTTTTGCTTTCATGAATTTGGTGAACTTCTTTATCATAAGACTCAACTCTTCTTCTTCGTTTTCCGAGTCTTCTTCTTCCTTTTTATTTTTACCTTTGGAAATTTCGGTTTTGAAGGCTAAGTTCTTTTTTTGATATTGTCCTTCTTCTTCATTTAGCCTTCCAAGCTCAAGCTCATGCTCTCTTAGTTTTCCAAAGAGCGCCGCCATTGACATAGTGGCAAGGTTTTGTGACTCCGAGATGGTCGTCACCTTAGGTTGCCATTTCCTATCCAAAGATTTTAAAATTTTAACATTATTCATCAACGTCAAATATTTTACCTAATCTGGTGAGATGATTCACAATGTGAGTGAAACGCTTTTGAACGTCGAAAATTGTTTCGCCTTGTTGCATCCGGAACATCTCGTATTCTTGGATTAAGGAATTTTTACGTGCTCTCTTAACGTCATCAGTACCTTCATGGGTCACTCTAAGCATTTCCCACATTTCCTGAGCACTTTTACAAACAGAAATCCTGTAAAACTCGTCAAGCATTAAAGCAGATGAAATTATATTTCTAGCCCTAACGTCAAATTGTGCTTTTCTGTTTTCTTCTGCAGTCCATCTAGAAAAAGGTTTAGGAACGTCAACACCGTTCTCAGTAACTTTAGGAATATATGGACCGTTTAAAATAGCATCCCAAACGCCACTATCAACAGACTCTAAAAAGATTTGCATTCTTACCTTCCAAAAAGGATAATTTTGACCCGCAAAAAGTGGGGGTCTGTTGATAGACACACCTTCGGCAAAAGTTTGATTTTTTCCGGCCATTTTCGAAAAGTTTGAATGACTATCAAAGCAAGCTCTGATACCACTTGTTAGAATCGCACAACGGAATGTTCGCGTGGTCGGACAAAAACCAAGAGGGGGGGTGAATTGGTCTCTTAACAAAAATTAGGTTTTCAAAATTTTTCCCAAATTTTACCGATTAAAAACTGTGTAAATGTAAATAGAGAAGAGAAGAGAATCTTACACAGGAGATTTATACTGGTTCAGATCAAAAGACCCTACGTCCAGTTGCTAATCACTCAAACAGAGGATTAACGCTGTCACTATAATCACAATTGTTACAAACAAATTCCAATTGAAAAGATAAAGATAAGAAAACACCTCTCTTGAAATCCACAAGAGATGATGAACAGCTTTCCCTAGAGATGACACAACACACAATCCACTAAGAACTCCACTTAGTGATTCTTATCGCTTCTAGCCCACACCAGGTTCCAAAAGCCCCTTTTTCTTGCAACAAACAGTTCTCTGGCACTACATCACTTAACTTTTGTATGAAAAAGGTTGTTCTACTTTTCTGAGTGCCATAGAGAAGCTTAAGTAGAGGAATTAGGGTTTTGGAATTGGGAATTTCGAAACTAGGGTTCTTGGAAATAGGTTTTTCGAAAATAGGGTTGATTTGAAGTTAAAAATCAAAATTTGACTGAAATAATCGATTAAGTGAAGTGTTAATCGATTATTACAGAGCAAAAATCAACAGAACCCCAAAACTCTCTGTTTTAATCGATTAAAAGACCTATTAATCGATTAACAGGCCTGTTAATCGATTAACAGGGGTGTTAATCGATTAAAACAGTGAACAGATACAGAAAATGGTTTTTCTCACTGTTTTAATCGATTAATTCACCAAATAATCGATTAAAGCCGAGCCTCTTTGATAAATTTGAGCTTTTTGAAGCTTCTAAGGTGTAGACTATGTGCCGGCTATCTCAAACTCTAATATTACAGACTCAATCTAATCAAAACAGAGTTATTACACATTAAAACAAGTCTTCAACTCTCTAAGTCTTGTGTTCTTGAATCATCATCAAAATCAACAAGCTTCATGTCCATCAAGTTCAACATCAAGTCCTTGAATGTTCAACAAAAACGTCATTTCAAAAGTTTATTTATAAAATAACTGGCCTGTCATAGGGAACCCGAAAGGGGCGTCGTAAGGGAGCTAATACCTCCCTTTCACGTAACTAACTCCCTTACCCAACTCTGGTTTTAACGACCGAAGTTGGTTTTTCTAAGAAACCAACACCTTTTTCTTCCCTTTTTCGATGTTTCTGATAAAAACATCGGTGGCGACTCCATAAGAACCCTTTCAAATTTGTTCTTAGGTCAGCCTTGTTATCGGACGATCTAAGAACACCGTTTCAAAAAACCTCACCCTTAGGTTTGTTAGAAAAGTAGGCTGAGATCAAGAGGGGGGGTGAATTGATCTTTGAAAGATTTTCACAATTAACAGATTATCTATTTGTAAAAATAAGATTTCAGATCTGTTCTTGAATCACAAAGCAATCTATCAACAATAAACACAGCAACAGAATTAAAAGAGGAGAAAGGTTTAGAAAGATATCACCGGTGTTTATACTGGTTCACCCAATACCAGAGCTACGTCCAGTCTCCAGCCAAATTCCAGCTGGGTTCTACTAGATCAAATGTTTTACAGGTTACAATCTTACACTTAATCTACCACAAGAACCACAATTTCAGTTCTTGCACTAAACCTTTCACCAAGAACCAAATTCCAGTTCTTGACAACCTCTACAACCAAATTCCAGCTGCAGAGAAACTAGTGCCCACAATTCCAGGCACCAAACAATACAAAAAGAATGTAAAGAATTGAAAAGAAGAAACTAGAATGCTCAAACCAGTTTTATGCAATTTTGCAGTAAGTGTTTCTTCTCCAAAAGAAAGCAATTTGCCTCAAGAAAGAATTTCAAAGAACTTCACAAAAACTGGCGCGAATCTTTCTTGAAAGAGTGCTAAAGTTTGCTTGCTTGATTGCTAAAGATTGATGTTCAATGTATGTTTAAAATGTTCAAGCCAAACTGTTTTTGTAGAAGATTTTCAAAACTGCTGGTTTAATCAATCTGTTAAAATAATCTTTTAATCTGTTAAAAGTCTAGTTTTAATCTGTTAAAACTTCTTTTAATCCATTAAAGCGTTCTTGATTATTTAACAGATTTGTTTTAACTGATACGACAACGTTTATATCAATGAAAACTCTTTACAAAAAATCTTCTAATTTGTTTTAATCGATTGTTTCGTGATTCAATCGATTAAAATACTGCAAAATTTTCTTGTAAAATATTCAAAGTGATTTTAACTGATAAAAATAAGTTTTAATCGATTAAAACGCTGTGTAGAAATTTTCTAAGTTGTTTTAATCGATTGAAACGTGTTTTAATCGATTGAAAAAGCTCTGATCGGTCATAACTCAATTATTATCAATCATATCTGGTTCTGATCGGTCATAATTGCATTTTGATCGATCATCCTGAACATTAAGTGGATTTAATCGATTAAAACCAAGTTGTATCGATTAAAATACTGCAAAAACACTTTTCTTAACATTTTAAGTGATTTTAATCGGTTATTTCGAAGCTTTATCAGTTAAAACACTGACAAAAGGTTTTCAAAACTTTCTATAATGAAAACAATCGGTTATTTGGAAATTATATCAGTTAAAAACTTGTTTAAGAAAGCTTTTATTAAAATACTTTGTTTTTAACTGCTTAAACGTTTTTAGAGGCATTTTGCAAAATCTTTTAATTGAAGAAACCTCATGCAGCAGAAAAGATAAAAATGATTATACCTAAGCATAGCTGCGGACACACTAATCTCTCTACTCTTTTATCTAAGTGACTGTTGACCGCTACAAAGTTGACTTTGACTTTTATCTTTGACTTCATCAAATCAACACTAGTGCAGAACAGGGTTTTTACGTCACCCAATTGTCGTCGTATGCATGTATATTCGACGTAAATAAAACGCGGTGGCAATTTTGTAAATATGAGACAAAAAATTTACGTCGCACATCCCAGTATGCGACGTAAAAAGCCATCTTTTACGTCGCACCCGGAGGGCGCGACGTAAAGATGGCTTTTACGTCGCGTGCTCGGGATGCGCGACGTAAAAAGTCTATTTTATTTCCCTCCGGACCCACTTCTTCGTCTCGCGCAACTAGGGTTTTTGAGAACGACGATGAGGACGACGACAAAAGCTACCTCGCACACCATTTTCGAGCGGCTTTACAATGAAAAGCATCTACATTATCGTGTCATTTGACGAACTTGATCTTTCTCCCGATTGGATTTGAGTTTGAAATCGGTTTTCGTCTACACTTGAGGTTAGTGTTCTATGTCATTGCTATATGTTTACATTGAATCCGTGATTGTTTTTGGGGATCTCAATCACGTTATAGTATGAATGTCTCCACTTGGATTGTTATTGGAATGTAATTATTTGTTTATTTGTTTGAATGCATTCGATTTACACACTCCATTGTTGTTGGAACGTGCTTTCAATTTGTTTATTTGAAGGCCACGGATAACAAACCTAAACCTAATGTTACCGTGGCAAAAGATGGCAGTGGAAACTTCAAAACCATTTCCGAATGTTTAAATTCTATCCCCGCAAAGTATGAAGGACGGTAATTAGCCTCTCTCACGCTCTACCCCGTAGCTAGAAGCCTCTAGCTTATTTATATCTCGCACGTATATTTGCTATCGTTTGAGGTATAATTATTATTGGGGTTTGAAAATGCAGGTATGTGATTTTTGTTAAAGAGGGAATATACGATGAGACAAGTGAAAATAACAAAGAAAATGCAAAATATAACCATGTACGGTGATGGATCCCGGAAGACCATCATCACTCGGTAACAAAAACTACGGGGACGGAGTCGGGACTTTCCTAACCGCAAGTTTTGGTACGCAGCATGTCTAAAACTAAACACCCTTCACCATGTGATGTATATTTTTATTATTATTATTATAAATGGGTAACATATTGTTTTGGCACATGCACGCGCAGTGGTAGAGGGAGACGGATTCATAGGCCTAGCAATGGGGTTCGAAACACTGCAGGCCCCGATGGACATCAAGCGTGGGCTGCAAGAGTCCAGGCGAGATCGTGCGGTGTTCGCCAACCTGTCGTTTTGAGGGCTACCAAGACACTCTATACGTCCAAGCCCACAAACAGTTCTACAGGAGCTGCATCGTTAGTGGCACAATTGACTTCATCTTTGGTGATGCAGCTGTGGTGTTCCAGAACTGCATCATGGTTGTGAGGAAGCCAAATGACAACCAGCAGAACATGGTGACAACACAAGGGAGAGAGGACAAGCAACAAGCCACTGGAATTGTGCTCCAGAAGTGCACAATCAAACCTGATGACAAACTGGTCCCAGTAAAGGACAAGATCAGGAGCTACCTTGGAAGGCCATGGAAGGAGTTCTCAAGAACCATTGTGATGGAATCAGAAATAGGTGACTTCATTCACCCTGATGGATGGACAGCTTGGAATGGAGACTTTGCTCTCAAAACATTGTACTATGCTGAGTATGGCAACACAGGACCTGGTGCCACCACCAATATGCGACGTAAATTTACGTCGCGTATTGGTATATGCGACGTAAATTTACGTCGCGTATTGGTATATGCGACGTAAATTTACGTCGCGTATACCATATGCGACGTAAATTTTCTATTTTTTTTTTAAATTGAAAAGGTTTTTACGGCTGTTTAGTGTAAATCTACGTCGGATCTGGATAATTGACGTAAATTTACGTCGGGCAAAAGGGTCTGACGTAAATTTACGTCTCCTGCTTTAACGTCGGACTTAAATACAACGTAAAAAGCCCTAAATACCTGACGTAAAAACCCCTTTTTGCACTAGTGCAACAAGATCTTTGTCAAAGTATTTCAATAAGATCTTCATCACTTTCAGTCTCCCCCTATTTGATGAAGACAAACACCACTTTGAATAATAACTCTGCAAGAGAAGTCACTTGATAAAACAGATTAGTGAGTAATAAAGAAATGAATTATTTTCCTATTTCTCCCCCTAAATTGTTGCTTCCCCTAAATAAAGAATTATTTCTGATCAAAAGTAAAGCAACTACTCTCCCCCTTTTGACTTCATCAAAAATAGGGAACAGAAGAGAAACAATGCAAAGGTATGAATGAAGTTTTAGATTTTGAAAATAGAAAAAAAAATAGTAAAATACGATACTTTACTCATGTAAAGATCAATCAAAGTTGATTCAAACTTATCTTCATTAACACGTTTGTAATGAATACAATTAACATGTGTAAAGATAAGGGAACCACGCTTTAGTAGCATGTTACAAGAACAACCATTAACTAAAGCCTTTAATTTTTCTTTCCAGAATAAAAATCGATTAAAAACAGGACAAAATCGAGTAAAAAGTTCTTGTTCAATGATTTTAATCGATTGAAATAAAGGTTTAATCGATTAAAACAGTGAAGGACTTCGAAAGTATGAAACATAAGTGCATTTAATCGATTAATTCGATATTTAATTGATTAAAACAGTAAAGAAAAATGCTGTATAAACTCTTTTAATTGATTTAAAAGATTTTTTATTGATTTAAACAACCAGTTTTGCAAACTAAGTAATGTTTTATGCGAATTTATCATGCCTAATCCAGTGTAAGTTTTGAAATACCGATCATTTAGAAGGATGCTTTACAATAATATCAACCACATCGATTAAATTTTAACCAATAGATCCATCAAAATTAGAATAAAATCTTATTTAGCTAATTTAACTGATGTAAACTAGTTTATATAAATTTTAATCGATTGATACGCAGTTTAATCGATTATTTTGTTGTGAAAGTGTTTCCTTTAATTGATTTGATCGATTAAAACCATTTTGAATCAGCTAAAAAAATTCGGGATCTATGTTGAATTCTATCTAGACTAGTTTGATTCGATTTAAAACCTACATTATATTAATCAAAGGTAAAGAGATTGTACCTGGTATACAACCAGTAAATATTACAGACCAGAAATTGAAATTAGCATCAAAAGAAATAAGAAATAAAAGATAAGATAAGAAGGGACCCTTTTAATCCATAAAATCAATCATCCCAGTTTCCTTGGTTTAGCTGCATATCTTCCAGCTTGGTGTAGATATCAGCAATTTGGTTTCCAAGGGATGCGAATTGATTGTTTGTTTGCTAGAAGTGTTGGAATGTCATCTGCATATGCTTTCTCTGATTTTCCTGTACTGCAGCCATTTGAGAAAGCATTGTTCTTTAAAACTGAGATAAAGGAGTCCCACACTCAGGCTGCTCCATGTAAGGAATAATTTTCATATTCTCATATGAGGCATGACCACTGGTTGACTCAAGAACCTCTGCAGCAGCTGGAGAGGGAGGAATTTGACCTTGCTCATCTTCTTCATCATTGTCTTCCTCACCCTCAGACATCCCAGCATCAATTTTGGAGATCCATTCATCATCAACTTTTATATATCCCATTTTTCTTAGGGTGGAGTCGTCAATTTCATTTGATGCCTTGGGGGTTTCTATGCTCTCCCCAGAAAGATCAACTTCAAAATATCTAAAGAAATTATTAATTAACATAGCATATGGCAATTTGAAATCTGCCAACCTTTTAGCTTTCAACATGTGATCTTTGATCACATACACCCAGCTTACCCGAACATTGTTAAAAATGCAATACATGAGGGCAAGGTCTCCCTCATTAAGAATAGCATGATTACTCCCTCTTGGAGTAAGCATCCATGCCACAATAAAAGCAAGTAATCTATGTTCAAGTGCAAGTTTTCCGGCATTTAGAATTCTTACCGAATCATTTGGATCCTTAAGGCAAGACCGGAAAAACTGAATCTTGTTGAACTCAGGAATCTCAGAAATATTCCCCCTTGAGACTTTGACACCTCTATCCTTAAGGCCAGCAATTTGCTCCCAAACAAGCAGGAGTAATTTCCATATTCACTCCCTTCACTTGAGATCCGATTGTAGAACCATTCACTATTAAATTTGAGTAGAAGACCCGAACCAGATCAGAGTTGAATATTCCCCGTGAACTCCATGAAGGTTTTCAGCTTTTGACTTTTTAACTTTCTTCTCGGACTAGTAAAACCTTCTTCGTCCAGACCACCTAAATTTGATAAATTTTGGAATAACAATTTGTTTCTGACTAAACTCAGAGATGAAGGTGTTCATCTTTCCTATATCTCCATCAAACCAGGCTTCCAGATGGCCACCGGGATTTGCAGCAGAGGAAGATTCCCCTTTTTGCTTCTTTCTCGACTTTGATCTTCTCATCATCTTGTTGTATTTTCAGAGAAGAGTTTCTGAGACGTGTGTACAAGGAAAGAAGGGAGAAGCACTTTGAACTAGGAAGAGAAGAATGAGAACAATGAGCTACAAGAGAGCAAACTGAAGATTCACGGATGTCAATTTTCGTGAATTGCAGTTTACTTTAGACAGAACCTGCAAAATCAGCTTTAATTGCATATGTCCCCTTGACTGAGAACACAGGCACAGATTCTTGGACAGTGGGTGAATCAGCTAAACTGTTCTTGGGAAGATGTTTGACTTGGTCAAAGAATATTTAAAAGTATTATGCAGATTTTGATTACCATAAAAACTTGGGATTTTGACTTTGATTTGCTTACCAATTTTCAATTGGATGTTTATAAAATTAATTTTCAGAAACAAATTAATCGATTAACCAACTAATTAACCTATTAATTTGATCTTTAATACTAGGTTTGAAAATGCTACAGTGAAATAATCGATTAATTCATAAAGGAATCGATTAGTCTTGTACAAGATGAAATTAATAAAATGATAACAGAATTTAAATTGATTAAAACGAAAAAGAATCGATTAAATTTGACATCTTAGTGTTTTTAGTTGATATAAATTTCTTTTTAATCGATTAAAATAGTTAAACTCAAATCCTGAGAACATTTTAATCGATTAATTCGCATTTCAATCGATTAAAACGGTACGAACAAATTTTCTGATATCCTCTGTAAGTTATTTTAATCGATTAATATTGTTTTATATCAATTAAAATAATCAGTTTATGAAAGCGTAACCTGATTTGCTGTTTTGAATACCAAGGGACTCCCAGATTTTGTTCCTATAAAACAAATTTAACATGTTTCGGTACCCTTTATAAGTACTGGGTCCAATTATGTTATATGAAGTGAATTTTTGGGAATCCACTTCATTCTACCTTTAGGTATGACATATTTCTTAATTCTACAATATTTTACTGAATGACCTCTTTTCATGCAGTAAAAATATTTAATCACAGAGTATGATTTCTTATTTTCATTTGTTTTTCTGAATTTCATCCTAGATTTAAATCCTATTCCAGATTTGTCAAAAATTAGTTTTTGTGACCCAAGTAAAACGTCAAGATTAGCTTGACCTTGTGTAAATCTTGAAACGGTTTGTGATAAAAAATCAATTTTCTTTTGTAATTCTGAACAATTATTACAGGGTTTATTACATGCACAATCAGAATCATCATGAATTAATTTTAAGAAATCACGATCAGTTTCATCTTCAAGAATTTTCTTTTCAAGAGAGTCTACTTTATTTACTAGCCAATTATTCAATCCTTTTAACCTATCATTTTCTTTTTGTAGTTTCTTAGCCTCTTCATGCATTTCATTAAATGCTTCTTGTAATGAATTATAATTCACTAAATTTGAAGAAGAATTAGAACTTACACTGCTGGATTGAAGGTTTTGATTTGCCATTAGACACAGAGTTGGCTTCTTCATTGTCACAATTGTCTCGTTGATGAAGTGTCATTGTCATCCCATGCTACATAGGCTCTTCTTTTGACTTTCTCTTCTTTCTTGTCATTATATTTGTTCTTTTCTGGGCACTCCATTCTTACATGGCCCCGCTTACCACAACCATAGCATTTAAAGTTAGAAGAATCAGTTTTTTTCTCATACCTTTTATGTTTTTCCTTGTCTTGAATCTTTTTCTTGAGAAATTTGTTGAATTTTCTCGACAAGCAGTCCAAGGTTCTCACTTTCCTCCTCTCGATTCTTGATTTCTTTCTTCAACTTTGAGTGTTATACTTCTGCTTTTCTTCTCGGAGACTTCTTGTTCATTAAATCTGTTAATTTCCATTTCATGTTCTCTCGAGTTTGCCAAACAAAGAAGTTGTTGTCATGACGGACAAATCCTTTGACTCCGAAATTGCTCGTGACCTTTGGTCGCCATGACCTGTCAAGACATTTCAAGACTTTAATATTTAATTCTTCTTTATCAAAGGTTTTACCTAGGCCCATTAGATGATTAATGATGTGAGTGAATCGCTTCGCACATCCGCAATGCTTTCACCAGTTTGCATTTTGAACAGACTCATATTCTCTTATGAGAGTATGCTTTCTGGCTTTCTTTACATCCGCTGTCCCTTCATGAGTAACCTCAAGAACATCCCACATCTCCTTGGCAGATTTGCATTGGGAGACCCTCGAAAAACTCATCCATGTTAAGTGCGAAGTAATTATATTTTTACAAGTGCAATCATTTTGAACTTTTTTCTTTTCCTCATCATTTAAACTGGA